AGAATATTTTGTAAAGCAACAATTATTCCTGTGTGTGTGTGTGTGTGTGTGTTTTCAAGGAAGGCCCCGGTCCTCAAATTCGTCTTTGGGGTTTTTTCATTTAGTGGCCTGATTTTCACTCTGTGCCTGGGGGTTCCTTCGGCCACCTCCACTTTTCTCTGGGAAGACTGCCTGGGACGATGGCGGTGGTAGGGATAACAAGGTCAGCAGGACCCTGATCGGGAGCCTTCGGAATTTTCACAAAATGAAAAAAACTTTGCTGATCCTTTAGGAGGAGTTTGGTTAATTTCTGCTTTGATTTGGGAGACTCCCTGGCTGGGCCAAGGTGCCTGCTCAGCGAACTCAGCTCCTTCACTGATTTCAAGAGTTTAGCTCTGATGGAGCAGAGGGCTCCAGCTTCTCGGGTCCCGTGGTAGGTTGAACAGTGGCCCAGAGACAGGACCCTACTGGGAAAAGGGTCTTCGTAGATAGAATTAAGGTTAGGACCTCAAAGTGAAGTTAGGAAGAATTAGGGGGGATTAGGAAGACCCAAAATCCAATAACGAGCATCCTCATAAGAGGAGAGAAGGGGAGAAACCCACAGGCAGAAGGGGACCCGGAGACACAGGCGGGGATTGGAGCGAAGCATCTATAAGTCAAAGAACGGCCGGGGGTGGCCGGGGCTACCAGGAGCTTGGAGAGGGCCATGGCAGGATTCTCCCGCCAAGCTTCTAGAAGAAACCAATGCTGCTGAGAGCTTGATTTTGGACTTCCGGTCTCCAGAACCATGAGACGACAGTTTCTGTTTGGTCCTCATTTGCTCTGGTGGCCACAGGAGACCTCTACAAGTCTCCTTTTCATTTCACCATCTGTAATACAGAAACAATTACAGCTCTGCCGCCTGCATGGAAACACATCATAGGCACCCAGAAAGGTTCCCTGCTTAAAAGTCTTTCCCCTACCTACGATCACAAGTGTCCTCAGATTGACAATGACACCGCCCCAGAGCACAGGACCAACAGAACCGTGGACACAGGTGCGCCTGCGAGCACGTTCATAGCAGCATTTTCTGGAATAGCCCTGAATGATAAGCAAGAGTAGAATGGAAAGGCGCACCGTGGTCTCTTCACACAGCAGAATATGATCCAGCACCAACGAAGGAACTGCAGCCCCCATCAGCCTCATGGCGATGCATCTCACACACACACGATGTCGAGTGTCAGAAGTCGGACCAAAGGGGTCCATACTGAACGAGGGCACTTTATGAGAATTTCAAAGGCAGGCAAGGTTATCATTGGTGTTAGAAATTGGGATAGTGTCCAGGGAAGGTGAGGCATTGGAAAGGGAGGGAGCCAGAGAGAGATATCGGAGGTATTGGCTCCATCTCATTGCTTGTCTGGAGCCTTACTTTGCAGTAATCCGCTGCCCGAAGGTACCTAATGTGTGAGTTTTAGATGTATTAGAATCCCCAATATAGAGTAAAAAACATCCACCAGGAGCCATTTTGGGAAAAGTAGCACATAGTGATGGGGTGTTTGTCTTAGATTGGGTTTTTCTAGAAGCAGATGCAGAGAGAAAAGATTTCAGTTCAGGAGTGGTCCAGAGACATTCCCAGGATCACCGTTGGGAGTCAGGGAAGCAGGATGGGGAAGAGAAGGACCAATGAGGGGTCACGGGGCAGTTACCTGGGACCGCAAGTGGGGCTCCAGTCCCCTGGAGAACTCTGGCAGCCAGAACCCAAACATGCCCAGGGTCCCGTGGAGGCCTGGATGTGTTGGAGAATTTATTTTCTGACTCCTGGCCACCGGGCATGGTCTCTCGGCTTGGCTCACAAGGAAAGTCCGGAACTTCTGGTGGACTTTGTAGAAGGGGATGGGTGCTGGGTCCCTGGGGCAGGAAGGTAGGCCACCAGCATCTTCTTCTGCAATAATCTACACAGAAGCATGAGCAAGCAAAGTGGGCGTCGAAAGGAGAGTGGTGTGTGGAGTCCAGAAGTTCCTCAAGAGGCCACCTGCCACCCCAAACTGTCCCATCACCCAGCACATCACCAGAACCTCCAAGGGAGTGGGTGCCTCCGTTACAACTCCAAGATGACTCTTCCACACTCATCTTTAGAATGGCTCAATGACAGAAGAGAAAAATAAAAACTCTCACAAAATGCTGTGGTCCGAACATGTGACTTGGGCAGCACGTGTTAGAGACGGAGTCCTCAGGGCCACAAGCTGGGAGGTGAGGCCCAGGGAGAGGTGACTGGACCATGAGGGTCTCTTAGAAACCGTCACCTGCGATGGAGTCCCACCATCTTTATTCAGACCTGATTGGGAAACACTCCTTCATGTCTGGAATGTGACTTGCACGGTGCTGGGTGAGATTCGGGCGAGGAGGGAGCAGTGTCTGCCGGGATGTGGTACCTGTGTGACAAGGGCCAGGAAAGAGGCCACCGCAGTTCACCAGCACACTCTTTTGATCACATGGGCGTGGGAGGCTTCCTGCCCAGTGTTCAGGACATTTGACAAACACAATAGATGTCAGAAAACAAAATAGATGATGAGTCCTGCACTGTGGTCGGGCACCCTAGTGGGGCAGACAGACCACACAGACGGACCTCGTCAATGAGTAATTTACAGAGTCTGCTAGAAGCTGGTAAAGACCCCAAGAAAAGAGCCTGGTGGGACCAGGGGCAGAGTAGGGGGGCGGAGAATGGATTTTTAGGAGCAGTGGTCACGTGAGGCCTCACTGACAAGTCACCTTCCAATTCATCTCCTTGGAGTTAGGTCCGCGTCCAGAGGTCTGATTCTGGGGTAAACCAAGCTAAGAATGGCCAACACACTTTTATTTATAAATAAAAATGAACCCAGGTGCAACCTTTAGGGGACCGCTGTGTTTGAGATGCTGTGGGCCCTCCAAGGGTGACCTCTGGGACCTCAGTAACAAGAGTCAGTTAGGGACGGAAGGGCAGACTTGGGGATGTCACGGTACCCAGGGAAAGTGTGCAGTGCAGGAAAGTGTGGACGCAGGATGGAGCGGGGCGGGGGGCAGTGGTGGGTGGTACAGAGGGCAGGGGCCGGGGAGGGATCAGAGAGGCAGGAAGAGAGAGGAGGGAGAGGTAGGAGCCTCCTGCCCTCCAGGGGCCGAGGAAGGTGTGGTCACACGCCTCCAGGGGAAAGAGTCACTGTAGGGGCAGATGAGAGTAGACTGGCCAGTGACTGGGCAGAGGCTGGGCAGTGAGGAAGAGTCAGCAGCAGAGAGGAGCCTTTGGGGAACTTGGCTGTGACCCTGGGGACAGGGTGGATCAGAGAGAGAGAGATTACCGTCTGTTCCTCTACTAAAAGGAAACAGCCACCATGGACAAGTGGGGGGTGTGCAGCGTTCAGAAGGGAGAGTGAAGGGCGGTGGGGGAGTTTTTAAGGAAAAAGATGTGGAACAATTAGAGGTGGAGGTGGAGGTGGCTGGCCGGAGGGAGACAGGAAGAAAGGAAGTAAGCACGGGTTGCTCACTGAATGTCTCCAGCACATCAGTGTCGTCAGGGGACGGGACCTCATTTATTCAGGTGAACAAGGCTAGACTGGGCACCGTGAGCCGGTGAGAGGAGAAGAGCCGATTCCTGGAGAGTGTGAGGGTGAGGAGGGTTTCCCTGGAGCCAGCTGTCCTCGTAGATGACCGTGTTGATCCCCACCTTCAACAAGCATGCGAATTCAGATTGGAAATTCAGCCGACGATTCATTTTATGAAACACTTCATGGCCGGTAGGGGAGAACCTCTGTAGGTCTCCAATATTTCATTCAGGAAACTCCAAAGTGGTTTTGATGTTGACGACGGAGCACCATCAGAGCTACTGCCTCTGTTGACAGAAGCAGAAGCGGCAGGGCCTGGTGGCTCCGGGTTGGTCGCGAGCAGCACATGAACTCCTAATCACCATAATGACGAACAGCACCTCCGAAGCATCTCTCATTCTGAAATTGTCAGCAGCTGCCAGTTGGCAGACGCGCCCCAGTTACTCAGCCCAGAGCCCCTCGGTGCAGCCCTGGAAGCAGAGCTCACTCCTCCTTTGTATCTATCTTCCTCGGAGTCGCTGCTTCATGGCATTGTCACCCCTGGTCACATGGCCGTTCTCCCCCATTAGCTGCAATTGCTCAGAGTGGAGAAGCAAGAGTCTGGTTGGGGAGTCACCCTGCCAATATCACCCTTGCCCCCCACTGGCTGGGAGGGACTTCCCCTAGCGACTCCTCTCTCTGAGCTTTCCAGATCAAAAGTTCTAGTCCCCCCATCCCACCACCAACCAAAACCCATGACCATCCATCTGTTGATGGACCTTCGGGCTGCCCTCCTGTTCTTTTTAAAGAAAGGTGCTTCTGGATAAGCCGCGTGGGATCTGGGGAGCCAAGAGGAAGAACATGCGTCAGATCTCCAAGTGGCTGGGTCTCTCGGGAGCTCCCAGCGCAGGAATGATGGAGACGGCTACCGGAAGCAGGGGCATCGGGAGCATCTGGGGGCTGCAGGATGTAAGAGGAGAAGGGGGAGAGGGAGGGCTGGGTGGGCAGGGGCGAGTGGAGAGGGCGCAGAGCAGGCAGGGATGGGGGTGGCTCTCGGTTGCTGTGGCTGCAGGGAGGAGGGGACAGATGCAACTGCTACCATCTTGCTTTTAGAAAAAGGAAAGGCAGGAGGGGAGAGCTCGGAAGAAGGAGAAGCAAGATGGAGAAGGAGAGAGTATGTGCTGGGGTGGGAAGCACGGGGGCCTCTCAGGCTCCAGGGGAGGTAAGTTCTCCTGAGGGCTTTCTGATTTAAAAATGGGTGTGTAATATGCTTTAGGAGGTTTTCTTTCTAACATACACAATAGCATGAATCTATCTTAAGTCCTGTTCTCTGGAGGACTAGAAACCTCTAGAAAACCTATTTCATGGCATGCCACGCGAGTGAGGGTTTGCTGCAGCTTCGGCAGCCCAAGAAAATGTTTAAAGCTCTAGATCATCATGGAGAGAAGTAGTTGAAGGGCATGGACTGTGTCTTCCTCCTCTTCTTCTTTTAGTATGGAGTGCTTCACGAATCTGCACACCATCCTTGCCCAGGGGCCATATTAATGAATCTTTTCTCTATCCTTCTAATTTTAGTATAAGTGCTGCTGAGAGAACATGGACTATGTTTGCTATTTTGTTTGTAGTGTTGGTGACGCTTGGCTAAGGCACCTGTGTTAGGTTTTGGGTGATTTTTTTTTTTTTCTAGTTTGTGCTGGGAATCAAACCCTGGGTCTCAAGCATGCTAAGGCAAGTGCTCTTCCATTATATTGAGCTTTACCTCCAGGCTTGAAGGGCTGTGTGTGCATTGGGGAAGGGTTTCGTAAAGTCCCCTGAATCTGGCTGGGTGGCCCTGCTGATTCTGCCCACATTTATGGCTGGTTTTGTCTAAGAGCTCACATAAAGTAGATATAAAGTAGATATCAGAGCATAGTTTGCTCTGTGTTACCCCCCAAAAGATCTTTCATAACTTGTTTGTATTAAATATTTCACTCTAAAAATCACCATCAACTTAAGGAATAAGTATGTGTAAGTGGAGAGAGGAGACAGGAACTCTGTCAGTACCCTCGGCTGGGAGTTTGACGTGGTGTGGTGCATTCCAAATTGAATTCTGTGTTTCAATTAATATTCATAAATTCAATTAAAATGATCACTATTTGATAAGAGGAAATCAGATACATTTAAATAACACAGAAATCTATTTACTACCAGATATGAATCTGGACAAATGATGTTGAAAAAAACCAGAGAAAATGGTAAAACTGGAGAATCAGAAGATGATGCTCAATTCATTTCACTGGAAATTTTTCAATGCCAAGGGGTACCAACAGGTACCAGTGGGCTGGGCATGGTTTGAGTTAAAGTAGAAGTTACCAATTCTTAACCTCATGTTATTAATTTGGAGATACACAGATAAAGCTATAAAAAAAATCATCAAACAAGATGTCATCAGGAATAAGGTTTCCGTAGAGACCAGAAGTGCCCAGAGAAGGAGCGGTCTCCCTGTGTGGAGGGCTCTGGGAGTCTGGGCTGGAGCGAGCATGAGGTTGCCTAACTCCTGTGTGTCTAAGGCCAGGCAGATTGCATCTGCTTCTCACCCTATGGGAAGGATTAAGAGTCTTAACAATCATTCATTCAACAACAAAAATTTCTTAAACACCTACTCAGTGGCAAGCTCTATGCAAGGTACTGAAGATACAAAGGTGAGCAAATCACCCAGATTGTTTACGGGGTGATCAGAGGCAGGTGGGGTAACCAAGGGCAGTGCAGCACGGTAGTTTGGGCTGGTAGATGCAGCTGCATGGTGCCTGGACAACCCACTGGGGCTGTCTTTCCTAACTGGTGACAGGGGACCAACTGATGTGCCCTCTGTGTCTCAGCATCTTTCTTTTTTTTTTGAGGGGGGGGGAGGGTACCAGGGATTGAACTCAGGGTCCTTCAACCACTGAGCCACATCCCCAGCCCTATTTTGTATTTTATTTAGAGACAGGGTCTCACTGAGTTGCTTCGCGCCTCGCCATTGCTGAGGCTGGCTTGGAACTCACCATCGTCCTGCCTCAGCCTCTCTAGGCACTGGGATGACAGGCATGTTCCACGGCACCCAGCTCAGCATCCTTCCTGAGATGGCTATCAGGCAATCAGCACCCATCAACCAAGCCTGGCTCGGAAATACAACCTCTTTGCTTCCCAAGCAACAGGGGTTACAAGAACACTATACACATTCCCTGTGGAAGCACAGGGAAGCAATTGGCCGGCGAGTTTTCATGGAATTTTGGTAAAGAGTCACAGAGCAGATGATCAATCCATGAGACCGTAAGGATAGATTTCTGAAGGCTGGGAAATTCCACGTCCTCTGCACAGTTGCTTGTTGATGGGCAACTTGGAATAAAGATCATGGTTCCTCGGAAACATAACTTCCTTGTTGGTATCAGTGGATCCTATTCAGGACTTCAGATCAGGGCCCCAGAGGGAGTAACAGACCCCTGGAAGGGACAGAGCCTGTAGGTGGGTAGCATGGTTGAGCCAGCCTGTTGGAGTGAGTCCCGGGCACTGGCCCAGCCACTGGGGTTTTCTTTGGCAGAAGAAGGTTCAGTGTCTTGTGTAGCTGGTGCCAAGCAGGCCAGGCTCAGTGAGCTCACGGAGCTCCATGGGCCCTGGCGCTGGGGACCAAGGTGGAGGAAGTGAAGGGCTGGCTCTAATGGCCCCAGGTTTGCAGCAGCAGGGCGCCGGGCCAGAGGAGACAGGAAATATTCTGGGCTTTCAGACATTGTGTCATATGATTGTTTATTTGGGACGAGGAAGCCACCCAGGGAGCAGCGGTGCCCATCACGACCCCTGAAGAGAAATCCAGTGAGTGCACTTGCCACCTGTCCTGCTGCCCCCCACCCCGTGTGCACACAGGTGAGGTGAGCCAGAGCCCTGCCACTACATTCCTATCACTGCACCTGCAGGAGGGGACCCAGCTCTCCTGCCACTCTTGGGCAACTTGCTGGTGCACAGAAACTCTCCTCGAACCCTCTGCTCTTCCCCTTGCCTACAGATAGAAATGGCTCTCCCTTGATGTCCTCCCTGGTCTGAACTTCCTGCCTTTGAGGTGGCATCTTCTGTTTTCCCCAAACCACTCTCCTGTACTCTAGTCACTGTTTCTTGACTAACTTTGAAGAGTCTTACCTTTGTGCATGGGTCTATTCTTTTTCTTTGTTCTGGAATATGCATTTTTTAATGTTCGCTCAATTTGAAAAATGATGAAGTTCCCGACTTGAGGAATACTTGAGACATACTCTACCTAAATTCCAGATTACTTCTGAATGTCAATGTGGAAAAGCAAATGAAAGCATGAATACATTGGAAGAAAATATGGGTGAGTATTCATAGATCTTGGGGGCCAAGAAGGTGTTTCTAATGTGACACCAGTCACGGGTTGGGTGACCTCTCCACCCACCTTGAAGGGATGAAAAATGTAACTAAGCAAAATTGAAAACCTGGGTACATCAAAAGGAATTGTTACAGAGATGCACAGGACAGGATTTGGAAGGAGGTTAAAAGTGGCTAGCCCTGGGGAGGAGAGGAACATGCTTGTGTTTTAAAGGGAATTTAACTTTTTAAAACCAAATATACTATGTGTTATGAGAAGTTTATGTAGATATCATGTTCCTTGTCTGATTGATATATTTGAAAATCAATAAACACAAAATTTAAAAGCTGATGATAAAGTGGAAACATACTTGAAACATATGTGACAGTTAAGAGTCATACCTTCCTTATGTGCAGAGCTCTCACAAATAAGGAAGAAACAAGATGGACCACCCAAACAAAATTGAGCAAAAGTCACAAGCAATTACAATGTGTATGTACACACACACACACACACACACACACACACACACACACACATCAATGGCCAGAGAGCTTATGAAAAAAAAATGCTAGCTTTCTTAATAATTTTAAAATGTAAAGTAAAACAAGAAGTTTGATGAATATATATGCCATTGCTTGGCTTCAACTGATATGTTGATGATGTACTTTTCCAGCTTGGTCTCTTACCATGCTGGACCAAAGATGGATGTTTCTTCTTACTCTAACCTCAGGCTCCTTGCCCATCCTTCCCACTGGTGACAGTCTATAGAAAGTGTATTAGTTTCTGAGGGCTGCTATAACAAAATACCACAAATTTGGTGTCTTAACAGAAATTTGTTCTCTCATAGTTCTGGAGACCATTGTCCAAAATCAAGGTGTCAGCAGGGCTAGTTTCTGTTGGAGGCTCTGAGCAAGAATCTCCCATGGTTCTCTCCTGGTTCCTGGCAATTCTTGGTGTTCCTTAACTTGAAGATGCATCACTCCAGTCTCTGCCTCTATCTTCACATGGCCTTCACCCTTGGGTGTTTCTGTGTCTCCAAATTTTTCTCTCCTTACAAGGACACTAATCATTTGATTAGAGACACCTAGAATCCAGTATGCTCTTAACTTGATAGCATCTGTAAAACCAAATCTTTACAAATAAGGTCACATTTACAAGTTCTAGGTGGCCGTGAATTTTGGAAAGATACTATTTAATAGGGAACCCAGGGATTTGGTCAACACTGAAAGAGATCACATTCTAAGATGCAGTAATTACAGCCTTAAGAGTTTAGAGGAGGCATGGGTGGAATATGTGCTGTTTTGCAATTACACAATAAAATTCCAAATGTTAAATTTAACACCACTGGAAACTGGATGATTGCTCACATTTTCCTGCATGCTCTGGGCAGGACTTGCATTTGAGGTCCTTGTCAACAAAAAACAGTGACGACCTGTGAGAAAGTTCTTGGAAGCCAAGATTCATGTCCAGATGGTACAACATCGACATGGTATTTGGGAACTACAGAAACAAGAGGGGCTAAATTGTTTCAATACAAGCAGGTTCTGAAGAATCATGGTATTAAGAGCATAACAGAGTTGCTACCTTTTCTCAAGGTGGAGATGAGCAGATGTGAAATGAATGAAGAATAGCATGTTTAACAATAGTTAAGGAAGAAAGAAATTGAAAAGATGGCTTTTGAACTTGAACAGAAAGAGATGGTAATCTGGACACTATGAAGAATCTTTACCACATACTGATAGTATTTACATAAATAAATATGTAAATACCTCTTCTCTAACCATTATTCTAAATCTTCATCATTAAATCACTATACTTCACATGGATCATAAATTTCATAATGCACTTTTAAATCAAACTGTGTATTTAGGCAGACGCTCTGCAACAAATATTTGCCTGGTGCCCAGCACATCCTGAATAAAAGCTATCCTCTTCTCCATCCACCAGCCTCTGAATAGGGTAAGAGCTCTCCACCGAAGGTCTAATCACATCCTTGTAATTACACAGCGCTGACCTGGTGCTTGACTAAGCAAGGGAAATCCCAGGGGCAGCTGTAGCTCAGTGATTCTCATTCTACATTCTCATGCAGGAGGGGCATGGGACAATGAGACGATATAATTTGGAGAAGGGTGAAGGAAAGGAGCTAAGACTATATAATATTTTGCAAAAATTTGAGTGACTTAGCAATTGTTTCTCTGATCTTCATTGATGTTGATGGAATCATCTCTGAGAATTGTCCTTGGGATGTGCGGTGAATTGT